ATGTCTGATCGATCCCCATCCTGGATTAACTGGCGCTCATATGAAACTGCATAGAACGGATTTTTGCATTTTCTTCTCATTAATTCGATCACATAATTGCTGCATTTCGTTTGATATCCAGTCTACACTACTACCATAAAATATTTTCAAATTTTAAAATGATTTTGATCTCACACATTAAATTTTATTGCTCGATTGATGTCAAATATATTATATTATAATATACTTTCAACGAACATTAAATTACACAATAGTATTCAATTATTCATTTTTAACAGATTAAAGATAGATTATTACTAAATTAAACCAATTATAGTTATTGCTAACAGTCTGCACAAGCACAATTAAAATGTACATATGTGATATGCAATTTATATTATAGCCTGAGAACACTTCCTATTGATGACAATACAGTTATTTCACTCAGTTTTGACCGTGAATTCAATTATTTTATATATAGCCTTCAGCTGTTTACATTTGAAAGATACACAGGTGAAAACAGTAGCACATTAAATATTTTGTCATCACAGAAAGTATATTTCTTGATATCTAACCATCTATAAAATATCAAAAATATTAATTATGTATAGTTTTTGATCTTCAACCGCTTAACGTTTGACATGCATTTTCCATCATGTTTAACATCTCCTTTACGCCCACATCGTCCGCGATCCGACGCAGTTGGATACCAGTTCAAACGCGCTTAACTGGATTTTCAATGGTGATCGCTTGAAAATCGAGCGCCCGATTCGACTTAAACTTTTGCGTACTAAACGGTATACAACGCCTCGACGTCAGATATAACAATCCGCCGCAGGCGGATTGCCCTTGTCAGGTATCATCGGACGATGACTGATTTAGACATCTGTTCGCTATTTTCGTAACAAGCTACGGGACAAGGTATATTACACCTGTGAACGTTTAATGAAATGACCGACCACTAGACGCTCGAATTGACTTTTTATTATTTACGCGTTTAAAACGACACCGCCAAAGTGTAGAGCCACCAAATCAGAGGTACCAACATCTCAAACGTTGTTAACGTTGTTTGCCTACTAGACTTTTCTAACTGCTGTATTCTAAAGTTCTGTTTATACAGCGAGTTTTACCACCTAGGGTATTCACATACAGCGATTTTTACCGACCTAGGTATTCACTTACAGCGAGTTTCACCGACCTAGGTATTCACTTACAACGAATTTCACCGTTGTTAGTAAAATTGATTAAATTATGACAAATACAAAAGTATATGTTTTACATAGAATTTATTCAATTTTAATTTTTTAAAAATGCTTTTTGTATAATTTTGAAAAATTTTTCTAAAATTTTTCTTTTTCTGGTTTATAGAATAGAATATAATATTGCTGTCTGAATTAATCCGAAAATAACCAGTTGGGACTATTCGATTATGAAGAAAATAGAATTAAACACATATGTAATTATGGAAACTTACAGTCTTCTATAAGGATCACGTCTTCATCACATCTCATTTCCTGTGTATAAATCATTCACTTATTTTATATACTGTAACAAAATAATAATTAATATTATTATCATAATTATTTTCAGACGATTATTATGTTAAATATTATATCCAATCCAGCAATCACCACATCGTTTTGGCGACTTTCCGTCATGTACTATCCAGCTACAGCACCAGCTATTAAAATAAAGCGCAAGTGAATCCTGGTTTTGTCGAGAAACATAATTTAGTATTAATTAACAAATATATTTATTAATATGTTAATTTTTGTATCGTTACTAGTTTGTTACAATATTATTACATACCAACCAAATAGAATACATAAGAAAATAATAAATTGATAAAATAAACAATAGCTATTAAATCTAAAGAAAATTATCGACATGCAAGTTTTACATCCTTCAATATAATTTATTAAATTAAAATACAATCATAAATTTTAATCTATATATTTAATAAAATATAGCTTTTGTAATAGTTTTATTTTATTTCATATTGCATAAATAGGGCGTATACAAAATACTTGATAGTATAGATAGGTAGGTAGTCCAATAGAAAATCAACACGAATAATTTGAAAAACAGTGAGGTAAATGTTATGACTGATTTAATTTATGAATTAAATTTGTATATGTTTGCAAATGATTAATCTACCTATTATTATACTAATCAGCAGTCATAGTCATCACCTATAATAAAATGAAACATTTTTAATTGCTCAACACGTGATTTAAAGTAAAACTGACAATTGTGGTATATACTAGTTGTAATACTAAGGTGGAGTTATAACTAAATTTTATTTTTAAAACGAAACAATCAAAATTCGTATAATTCATTTATATTTAGTCTATTTATTTGTTTGGTTATTTCATAAAGTAAAATGCATACTATACATTTTTACGGGGCCAACATTATTAAATGATTCAAACTGGACATATGTTTTAACATTAACATAACTGTGTCAATATGTTAAAAATGATATTTATATATATATGCTTATATAATATGATACAAAATTATAAACTTCAAAGTAAATACCCTACTTTAAGGTTTTAAATAACGTACCTATAGAAATATCCGAGTTCATAGAAATATATATTTATGATGAAGCAATTTATTTTTATAATTTACACCTATATCATTAAAAATAATAATAATGAAATACAAATAACAACTTAACGCTGAATAAAGGAACTGCAGGTAAAGATAAAACAATTAAGAAAAATAGAATACATATCATGTCTAATCATAATTGATATAATCCTAGAGCACATGCAACTGAACGAAGTACAACAGT